GACATTAAATTCATATCTTCAAACCTGTATATGTATTACTAAAAATAAGAGATTCCATCCTTTTTTTTTTTCCATAGGCTTTCTGTATTCTGCCACACCAGGAGCAGACATGTGCTTTGCTCGACAACATAACACTTCTGACAATAACAACCAATGTTTGCTAGGAGCCAATGGGAATATTTTGTTGCAGCTTAATCCTCAGAAACCAGGGGCTATTGATAACCAGCCACTAGTAACTCAAGAACCAGTAAAGGTAAGTAATTTGACATCTAACATTAAAATTATTCTCTTTCAAGTTACCAATAAATTTCATTTTAGAGGTTTTAGCACATAGCAAAATGTTGCGGTTCGTATAATTAACCTCTTGTAGATGGAAATCTCTGCATATTACATTTCTTTCTTTTTACTTTTTTGTTTTATTTTTGACTGCATATTACATTTCTGTGCAAATATTTTATTAATTAGTAGTTGCGTAGAAGTGGTGTAGTGATCTTTGGAAACATTGTTATTTTTGCTTAGGATAGCTACTGTTTCACAGGTATATGGATAATTTTTTCCCAAAATAGTACTTTTTATTGTTTGAAAGAAATCTGTGAAAACTAGTCTTATTTTTTTCTAATGCTCTGGTGATTTTTCCAAATATTTGCCTTAAGTTGCCTTTCTTAAACAGTTTATTTTGAAACTCAAAAAATTAAAAAATCTCTCTTAGAAAATTCAGTTCTTCCAGCAGCATGAAACTAGGTAGTGACATAAGAGTTTGTTCTCCTATGTATAGGTTTTGTTTAAACATGAGAGATGTTGGAATATTAAAAATCAACATTTACATTCCATTCTTTCGAAGGCCACATCATTGACACTAGAAGGAGGACGATTAAAGCGAACTCCACAGCTGATCCATGGAAGAGATTATGAAATGGTCCCAGAACCTGTATGGAGAGCACTTTATCATTGGTATGGAGCAAACTTGGCCCTACCTAGACCAGTAAGTATAGGTAATGGTACCTTATATAAGGAGCAGTCATAGAGGGGATCTTTTACTACTTTTTTATATGAATCTCACTATCTACCGATGAGTTTTTACCTTATGGTAGCAGAATACTCCAAACCTGTTACAATTAGTTGAAAAAATAATTTTAGTTTCCTTCGTATTTGTTCACCAAACATTTATTGAGCACCATATTAGGTACCAACCATACAATGATATGCGTATGGTTGTAGGTGGCTAACAGGGAGTAGAGCCAAGGAATTAGGAGGCTGGGCTATCAAATGTCATCCACATAAACACAGACATCACCTAGGATAATGCGGAACTTAAGCTGGAGAGGAAGGAAGGCTTAAAACCAGTGTTAGAAAATTCAGTGAATATAGGGGGTTGGTGCAGAGATTATTTCTGAAATCACTATTGCCATTAATCATAGGCATCCAGTTAGGGATTGTGTTGTTCTTGTAGCTTTTGGTGGATTTTTGTTGTTTACCTTTTTGAAGAAGAGGCATATAAAAGATCACAACATATGATAACAGGAATTCAAAGCTAGTGAATTCTGATTGTTGCCATCACTAGGATGAGTCATTTAGAGTAAAATGCTCTAAATTGGAGTATGTGACATTAAACTTAGTAAATTGCCTATATAACATTATTTATTCTGCTTATACAGTAAACATCAGGACTTATTTCTCTGGGCACTCTCTATTTACATTGTTGATACAGTAAAAGTACTTCGTTGATACAGTAAAATACCTTGGTATATAAAGAAACATTTTTTTTTTTC